GCTCGACGTTGCTGAGCACGTCAAGGAAGAGCATGTCCTAAGGTAACTGGACATCCCAAAGATGAGAGATTTGTTGGTTGCAAACCCAAGTCCAACATGGGAAAATGTGAAAAAAAAATCCCACTTTATAATTCCCACATAAACTCCACTAGTGTGAGGCCTTTTGGACGAAGTCCAAAAACAAATCCGTGCGGGCTAATCCAAAAGCAGACAATATCATACTAGTGTTGAGTTCGCCCAGTCCTAACACTATTCTATCCTCCGGGGGACTCTACATTTTTTCTCTCACGCCCGCCTTACTTTACTTCGGATGCCGGAGGAAATGGGATTCGAACCCATGATACAATCTTTCTTGTATGTCAATTTAGGAAGCCAATGCCTTAAACCACTCAGCCATCCATCCAAGTTCTTGATCGGAATTTGATGTGCGTTTGGTTGCTTGTGATGTAGATTTGATGTAGAAAGGCTATCTGATTGATCAACAACCACCTAAGCTGTAGCGCGACAGCGTACGTATGCTTCTTCTATGGCCGAGACTCTTATCCAGATCTCTCACTCATTTCTTGGGCGACGCCTTCTTTTCTATGAATAGACCACCATTGTATGATGAACTTTCTAGTTTTCGCCTCCGACCTGAGAAAAGACACAGTCAAGCCAAGCCCTTACCCACTTGAATGGAATGAATATCGCCTTCATCAGGTCGAGAAGGGAGAAAGCTCGAAGAACCAGGCTTGCTTAGCAACCAAAGCTAGCTTACTAAGGCGAAGGAATTTGTCGTTGGTTTCAACTTTTTTACAAAGCGATAATCGATCAAATTTTAAAGTTCAGTTCAATTTGAACTAAATCAACCAAATGCACGCCCCTAACTATGAATATTGTTGAATGGATGTCGGATTTATATCACAACTTAAAGTATATGTATACCGCAGTGGTTGGTAATAATACATGTACCATAATTGATCTCGGGAATAAAATTATTGTATATGTTTGGAATGACAAATCAGCACGCGTAATATATACAAACAATATATATTGTGTGTGATAAAAATGTGTTGTTTGTTCATAATTACAAGTATTTTGTATAAGAGTATGTTGTTTGCTAAAATTAACTGTTGTGTTGCATAAGACTATACCATGTGTTATTAGTTCATTTGTTATACTCCCTCCGTCCCCGGTGCAAGGTTGTCATTTACTTTTTGCACATAGATTTTTAAATATTAGTATTATAATGGGTGATAGTGAAAAGGACGAAAATGCTCCTATTAGTATTTTGTAATATAGTGTAAGTTGGAACGGTATATATTATGTTAGGTAGGTAGTACAATTACTATATTAGAAAATGATAACCTTGTTTTGGAACGGACGAAAATAGAAAATGACAACTTTTTAATGGGACGGAGGGAGTATTTGTATTATATTAACACATAGGATATGTTATATGTAATAATACTATGTGTTTTTTGTTAGCACATGGTGTGTTGTCGGCACGGTGTTAAATAAACCATTGCTTTGTATGTTATTATCTTTTAGGAATATCTAGTATCATACAATAGTTGAGCCAAAACATCACGATTGAAAGCTTAAATTAGAGTTTTAAGATAGAGAATTAGACGTGGTCACCATTAAAAATATTAATAGAAAATAAGAAAAATACTCTCTCCGTCCTTGTGTAAAATATATATTTACTTTTGGCACAGTTTAAAAAATATTAGTATTTTAACTAAAATGAGTGGTTAAACTAGTGTAAAGACAATTTTATCCTTACTTTTTGGTAAGAAGGTAATAATGTGCTAGTAAAATAAAAGTATTTATGTAAAATAGTTGACTTATAATTACTAAAAAAGAAAATGTATACGTTAATGCAAGATAGACAAAAATAAATATATATATATGTTGAAATGGAACAAAAAAAATTTAAATTTTCGTTATTCGGGACGGCGATCCCTCAAGCTCTAGTTCCACTCCTAATAATTTAAAATTTGGGCCAATCACCATTAAAAATACAATCAAAGATAAAGAATTATAGTCCCGTAAGGATGGCCTGGTGGTGTAGGGGTTGGACTTGTGACCGTGAGATTATGGGTTCAAAACATCAATACCTATTTATATCACATCATACAACTATTTAAATTATGTACCTCTAAGCATTCTCATATGTGTATATATAAATGGATGGATAGAGTCAAATCATCACCCGAAGATAGGGTGTAGATATCTTTATACAGTATAAAACAATGTTAATGTTATACTCTATCCGTTCCACAAAATTAGTCCATTTTTTCTTTTTTAGCCGTCCTATGAAATTAGTTCACTTTCTAATAATTAGTAACTAATACTTCGAATTAAAAAAAATTTAACTATATTTTATTAATTTACTAATATATTTAGTTTTATTATTTGTTAGTTGTAAATTTAGAAGTTGTGCTAAAATTTTAAATAATAAAAATAATAAATATTTAATATTATATAAATAAATTTTCTTTTAATTTTAAAATTAAATTTTAATGTAATATATAATAAAAATTTGATGTTTGATTTGAAAATTTATGGCTGAAAAATTAATTAAAAATGAGATTTGATATTGATTTTTTTTTTGTTCAAAAAAAAATAGAACTTATTTATAAAGAAAAATTATAAACTTATTTTTAATTTCAGTATTTGACGTAAAATATTATATTCTAATACCGTGTATACAATTCAGTTAGAGATGGTTTGAGATAGTATACCGAAAATATCGAAGTATATTGTATACCATACCAAAATTTTAAATTTATTTAAAAAAGATATCGATATTGTATCAAATAATCAGTATATATAAAATTACCAAATTTTGTTAATTATCTATATACACTGAAAATATCTTATTGTATACATTATCATACAAAAAAATTCATATTGTATTGAAATTTTGAAATTTTTTCAGTATTTTTTTTACGAGTATGCATGTTATTTCTGTAATTCAGTATTTTTTATACGTAAATTCGGTATACCAAAATATTTGTACGGTACGGTAAAATATCATACCAAAAATTTTGTACCGTACGTATGCGATGTGGTATTAAATTTGGTATGTCGTAATGAACTATCTCTAACAACAACCAAATTCGAAAAATTTTATGTATTGTTTATATAATTTTTTATTATATTTTTTATTGTATAAATTACATTAAAGTTATTAAAATTATTTTTTTAATCTAAATGCATGTATTGATTTACAATAAATACAACTATTATTATTTTAAAATAATATCAGTAAATAAAAAATTCAATAGTCAAAAATTAAACTAAAAAATATTTTAACTTTTAATTATAATTTTATCAAATAAAATATATTTAATATAACACTTTATTACATCCATTAATCAAACAAATTAACTACTTAACACAATATTTCTTAAACTAAGTGCCCAAAAAAAAAACTGGACTAATTTCATGGGATGGAGGGAGTACTACATAGAAGTTTGTCTTGTATATTTTATACTCCCTCCGTCCACTTACAATGTTGACGTTTACTTTTTGCACGTTGTTTAAGAAATATTGTATTATAATGATAGCTATGATAAATTTAATGTAAAAAGACCAAAACACCCCCTATAGTACTTTTACTTTTTTGCTTTGTAATTAAGTGGTGATTTTGGGTAATATAATTAATGCAATTTACAAAAAAAATTAATTAAAGCTAGAGTGTACAAAAAATTAGCAAATTTATAGAATAATTAAAATTATTGGGATACTTACATAATTACTAGAAAAATCACAAAATACAGAAAATAACTAATGTAATTAGAATTAAAAATATAAAATTAAATTTATGGATTTAAAATTAAAATTACACAATTAAATTTACAATTCACATAATTAAATACATTGCAGAAATCTTAGTAAAGCTGACAGTGTTCAAATTAATAAAAAGTGTACATAATTAGAAAAAAAAAAAAAAAAAACAGTGTACAAATAAAAACTGTACATAATTAGGAAAAAAAAGTGTATAAAATTAGAAAAAAAAAATCAGTAGACAAACGTATAATATCATACATTGAGAAGGAAAAATCAGTAGACAACACGATATATCAGTAGAAATCGCAATAAATCATCATGGCATCACACAATAAAAATCACAGTGAATATAGATAAAAATCAGTGCACAAAACAGCCTCCAAAACAAATTCATTTCCCTCCCAAAGAGGGATAATCATATCACAGTCACATCATGTTAACCCTTCTCATCAAGGAAAAAAATTCCCTCCGTTACCAAATGCAGATTTCCCCCTTAAAATACACTATATATACATCATTAAATTCACATATTAAGCCACTCATTTTCACAATTGTTGTAAATATGAAAAAACAAAATTTAGTAGTCAATGATCTTAATAACATTGCACAATTTCTGTTGCAGGGGTCTACCAACGGGAAACCGGTTCATGGAAAAATTACTAAAGCAAGTTTAAAGTATAGTGTAAGCAGACAAGTCATCCACAAAATCTGGAAAAGAGCACACGAGCAAATTCAGTCATGTCAGCTCATATCTTTAAAAAATAAGAAATCAGACCTTCCTCGGATTAAAAGGAAGGAGTTTGATAAAACTACTTTACAAAGTATAGTTGTGCACAAGAGAGGCACTTATAGAAATATTGCTAAAGAGATGAATGTAAGCAAGAGTATTGTCAAGAATTGGGCAAAATCGGGGCTGATCAGGCCACACACCAACGCTATCAAGCCTTCCGTTAACGGGAAAAACAAGATAGAGAGGCTAAAGTTCAGCCTCAACTCACTACAGATTGATAGTGCATCGAAAGTCATCAAATTTCAAAGCATGTCACAAGTTGTGCACATAGATGAGAAGTGGTTTAATCTTACAAGGGAGACAGAATGATACTATTTACTCCCCGATGAGCCAGAGCCGTACAGGGCCTGTCAACGTAAAAGATTCATCACGAAAGTAATATTTTTATAGATTCATCACGAAAGTAATATTTTTATGTGCAGTTGCTATACCGATGTATGCTAGTAATGAAGAGTGCATATTCGATGGGAAAATAGGCATTTTCCCTTTTACAAAAAAGGTTCCAGCCCAAAGAAGTTCAAAGAATAGAGCAGCTAGGACAATGGTTACAAAACCATTAGAATCCATCACAAAGGAAGTCACAAAGGAGCTTTTAATCAACAAGGTATATTGTTTCACTTTGTATTTCTACAATTAGACTTCCTTATCCCTCAGAAACATTTCATCATTGGGTTATTGATCACAAGTATAAGTCTCCTAATAAAAAATTACGCGAGTAATACTCATTGGTGACTTTATAACAAGTGATACCAGCAATAAAGGAGAAGTGGCCAACCAACATGGACAAAAATATCACTATTCAACAGGATAATGCAAAGCCGCACATCAATAACTCTGATCTAGATTTCAGACGGGCAGCAAGTGCCGATGGATGGAATATGAATTTGGTGTTTCAACCACCAAACAGCCCAGACACAAATGTGAATGACTTGGGATGGTTCTGGGCACTACAATCTTTACAAATTACACAGTCAGGTACCACAGTTGATGACATACTTGGAGCAGTTCACAAATCATTTGAGCAGCTATCACATACAGCTCTAAACTCAGTATTTCTAAGTTTACAAGCATGTCTTGGTGAGATAATGGCTAATTTTGGATCAAACAATTATAAGATCCCTCACCTAGGAAAAGAGTCTTTGAGAAGGTCAGGGAATCTCCCGGAAGACATTGAAGTTGACCATGAGATGATCAAAGCATGTATTGATCATTTGATGGAGTTAAATGAAGTGGAAGGCCTGAAGGACTTTATAACTTCTCTAGAGGAGTTTTAGCAATAGATAAATGCGTAGGTATAGTAAAACATGTTTTTGATGATGGGATAAGTTATGGTTATTGCTATAAAACACCTCTATTTAGAGAAGTTGTTTAAGCAATAACCAATAATCTCTTTTGTAGGATAACTAAATCGATTTGTACACTCAACAAATCTTTGGATGGGATAATATGCATATGTGAAACATTTTGTATGTCTCTTTTCACAATTTATCATCATAAAGTGTCATCAACTCACTCTCAGAAATTAATTGACATTTATCGGGTGCTCTAAGATACTAATCATTATCGAGTAAGGGCTGGGGTGTACAAATTTCAATGCATATGTGGCTGCATTACTTTAAAAGTAAGCCTTCAAATACAAAATGCATCATATGGCCATCAAAGAGCACAATTAGTAACTCTCATAAGATAATTTTCATCAAGTGGGGCGCAATGCCTACGAATTCAAATGCACAGTGGTTGCATTACTTTAAAAGTAAGCCTCCAAATACAATATGCATTATAGGACCATCAAAGAACATATTCAATACACTCTCAGACGTTAGCCTTCATCGATGGGGCACAGTGACTATGAATTCAAATGCACAGTGGTTGCATTACTTATAAAGTAAGCATCCGATACAACTATGCACGATCGGGACACTCTCGGAAGAAAATCATCATCGAGTGGAAGCTAGTTATGCAAAAAGTCTTGCACATATATGGTGCATTACTTATAGAGTAAGCCATCCATAAACAATATACACTACACATAACCAGCAACTTATATTGCACATAATCAACACGAAAATCATCATTTCAGCCACTAAAATTGAAATTCTCAACTCCAAGTACTCGTAAAATAAAAACCATAGAAGGTATACCTCAAAGTACTCAGGCAAGGTGGTCGCAAGAAGACAGTAAATCATCAGGAACTGAAGGAACACTTCACGGCGGCTACGAGCATCGATTCCAGCTACAAGGGTTTTTTTGGCCATGTCGTTTTGAACGACAACCGGCGACAGACACACAATGGCATCCTCGGAGTCTGGCACAACCCAGCCGGAGTACAGGTGGGGCGATTCCGGCACCTCGGAGGCCAAATATTCCGAGCCTGTACAAGAGTAAGGCATCTCAACAGACAGCCGACGGCCCCCCGTCTCGAAGGTCTCAAGCCCACCGTCGAAGGTCCCGCACGTCTCCGGCACCATGGATCTGTAAAGATCAAAGTCGAAGAGTGAAAGATCGGAATATGGCTTCTCGGGCGACTGCCAAACAAGATCGACGGGCAAAGCCGGAGGAGGATCCATTGATAAATCCTCTGATCGATCGCGATTTGGGCGATTTTGCGCCATTCGGTGGTCGACGGAGACGGTGGAACCAACATCCAGAGAGAACGATGAAGACGAAGATCACGAGAGAACCCTAGGAGCGAGAGGGGATCGACGAGAATGAAAAGATTCAGATAATTATTTTAATTTTAGAAATTATTTTTTGTTTTTAAATATTGTGTTTTATTTTAAAAAACGTGTTTTAGTTTTAATAGTTGGGTTTTATGTTTAATAATTGTATTTTAGTTTTAATTATTGTGTTTAAATGTTAATAATTGTATTTATTTAAAAATAGTTGCATAAATAAATATAATGGTATTTGTGTAAATAAGTGTAAAAGTAAGGGTATGAGTAATATGGGATGGGGTCCATACTTACTAAAAAAAGAAAATGTAAACTTTGTAATTGGACAGCCCAAAATGAAAAAAATGTAAACTTTGTAAGCGGAGGGAGTGAGTATATTTTATTATATTGTATAAAAAATACTTATTCTAATTCAATTAATAATATATTATGTTATGTAATACTTTATCCGCTCGCCTCTGAGGGTCTCATTTATTTTTTATGTTTTCATACTTAACATTAAAAATATATTTATATTTATATAATTTTTTGTACAAATGTACTTCTATTAGTATTATAAGACACTAATAGAAGTATTTTTGCAACTTTTTCATAATTTGTACTACGTTTTGATATAATAATTAATTTTAAAAACTCAACACGTAAAAAGTAAATGAGACCCTTAGAGCGGGATGAAAGTAATATTATATAATGTATTATATATTATATTAAACATGCTGTCAAATACTCCATTTTTCCTTTTTATCCGTGCCACAAAAGATGATTCATTTTTATTTTTAATAAATTTATTCATAAATATACTTAACAAATATAAATCAATTTAATTAAATTTTCAACATCTTACGCGTAAGACTTACTCAAAACTCCTTTATTTATATCCCTCTTCAATAAATTAATAATTTTAACTATATTTAAAACTCCTTATTTTTCTATAAATATTAATTTTAAATTAATTATAAATAAGCAAATAAATTTATTTATTTATTTGTATTATATAAAATTTTATTATCTACAAAATAATATCCATATTATATATACATATATTTTATTGTGATATAATTCTAAAAATATTTAATATAAAATTAATAAAATAATAATATAACTTAGTAATAATTTATTAATTTATACTATGTAAAATACTGTGTTCTTAATTAAATGATCATCATGACCGAGGGAGTATATATTACTATTTTATTGTATGTGTCCTAACTGGGTGCTAATTTGATTTGGACCGGAGCTGCCTCCTTCTAACACAATGTATATATTATATTTTCTTCGTCGAGCATATTTTGTCTGTTTTACTTTAAATATAGTAATTTAGAAGGGGTATAATTAATAAATAATTAAAATATATTAGTGAAAATAATTATAGTATAATAAAAATAATTATAAATTAAGATTAAGATAACTAATTAAAATTAAAAAAATTATAAATTAAATTTTTAAAAATAAAATTAAAGTGTATAATTTTTTTAAAAAAAGAAAAGTGACAAAATAAGTGGGACGTACAAAAGTTGAAATTGAACATGAGAAGTGGGACGGAGAGAGTAGTAAATTAAAAAATAATAAGATTCTAATTGATTAGGAAAAGTATATAAAATAATTTTGACACATTTTTTCTTAAAACTATAAAAGAAACAAATATTTTTTAAAAAAATTGAAGATATTTTTATTTTAAATACAATTATTTTTATTATAATTGAAAACAAATATTTTTTTTGAAAACAAATATTCCCTCCGTCTCAAATACCACGCAATATTTGAGTTCGGCAAAAAAATCTAGGTGAGCAGTATTAAGGATAATTTGAGAAAATTTAGAGATTAATTGATGTAATTGGATAGATAAATGCATTTTTTTTTTTTTTATTTGAGTGATGCTATAGGATAAAGTGTATATTTATATATGTGTTTCTTTTGATGAGTTTGGAAAAAAATTGATTTGAATTTGATATAAAAAAAAAATGTTTTATGGAATATTTTGTATGAGAAAAAAATATATTTATTTCGGGAATCGCAGAATTCAAATAGTAAAATTTGGAGAAACTGCCGTAAAGAAACAAATATTATAATTAATTATTTTTAAATTTAAAAATATTACAATGAGTTTGAACAAACAAAAATATTGCAAGACGTTTGAAACCAAGATAATACTTTTTTGTAGGACAAACATAAATAGTTCAAAAGTGTGTTTGTTTGGGGTTTGGATTGAGTTGGGATTTGAATAGAAAAAAATTTGAATTTGAATAATTGTACGATGTCTTAATTTGATGTTTTCAATGTAAAATTAATTTTTAGTATAATATAAAAAATAAAAAATAAGTATTTGATTTGATAATTTTTTTTTTTTTTTTTTGTTAAAAAGTGAATAAATAGTGTATTTAGGAAAAATCACCCAAACAAACACACAAATTACTCTAAAACAAAAAGCAAACACACCCAAAGTCCATGATGACAGCTAAAATACTAGTAATGTGACTTTAGACTTTGTTTACAGAAGATACTTTCACTTATTTCGCACATTCATTTTTCAAAAAACATTACATCAAATACACTTTTTCTCACACAAAATATCAAATCAAATACTCACTTTTTACTTTTTGTAAATTTTCAAAATTCCAAAAACCTACAAAAATTTCTATCTGGACAAAGCTTTCGAAACTTCTGCAAGGAAAGGAGAACAAAATTGAGTCTTTCTGAAGCAAATTTTCTGATCAGAAAATTCAAATTTAAATGAAGCATGGATTTGAAGATGGGATTATATATATGTGTGTATATATATATATATATATATATATATATAGAGAGAGAGAGAGAGAGAGAGAGAGAGAGAGAGAGAGAGCAGGTAACAATATTAGTTCACGGCATATCATCAAACCCCAGCAAAACTAAAAAACTAAATACATTTGAAAAGAAGCAGTAGAGAGAGAGTCTGTGACGGGTAGAAGAGAAACAAGTACCCCAAAAACACAAGAATAAAAATAAAAATGCAGCAAGAAACAGCAACTGCATAATAATATCTCAGACAACAACACAAACTCAAGAAAACAGAAATATTAAAATACCTAGTACAACACAACAATCGGCTTCGACAAAAAGCTTTATGAATGCTCCCCCTCCCTAAGATAATAATCTCAACTCCCAGAATTAGGTCTCGTCCTCCTGTCCTGTCCACTATTCGAAATCCTCGCCCAATCTTCGCGCCCCGTCTGGATTTCTTGCAGCGCCATGCCTTTTATGTTTCTTGGTCTTTGCTTTCTTGGCCTTCAGCCGACGCTTTTTCTCATTGGCGTCAACCCATGCGTAATCGGAGGGAATGTGGAATGGGTCGACTTCGTCTTGAAAGCTACGGCTCTCACTATCACTGGATTGGGTCCCCCGGTTTCTCATCCATGAGATCCACGAGGTTGAGCCCTCGGGCTCTTTGGACTTGCAATCTTGGAAATGAGCAGGGCTGGAGGGAGGGGTCGAGAACTCCTCCATTGGCGGAAGCTCCTCGAACTTTGTGAATGTCACCAGGACACGAATTGTTGGGACTATAGGAATTGCAATCTGCACGCCATCCAAATTATCAGCTATCAAAGTGGACAAAGCATCAAAGAAATTTGACTTCTCGAGCATTTTTCATAGATCCAATCAAGCTTTTATAACAACACAATCTTTAATGGACGAGTTAAGAATAAGGTTACACATAAAAATAAAATTAGAAAACATTATGCGCCCCCATAAGCAGTAAGAAATGTAAAAGTGGGGAAAAGTTAGACAAGTTAAGAATTGCAGTGTCGCAAACCCGGTGGCAGCATGTTTACTTCTTATCAAAAAGAATACTGAAGAAAGGCGTAATATTATACCCGTAAAGAAAACATCGAAATGACTAATGTTTGCTAAGCAACAAGGAGTGACATAATTCAAGGTTTCTAGCATCGTCGTATTTATTTAATGATAGTGTAAAGCTATCAAAGATTATCTCAGAAGCAAATAAACAAAACGAGGCTCGTTGCAAGAAATCTGTTCAGGAACCAGCTCAGAGATCCAAAATAACTGCATTAAAAATCATTCTAGCGATAAAAAGTACCTTCACAGGAAACGTTCCTGGAGGAAGTTTAGTAGTCAAAAGCTCTCTCAACCTTCTGACTGCCTTAACCTTATTCGCCAGTATGTCGAGCAAAGGCAAGAGCTCCTCTGTTTTCAAAGGAAAATCGGGCGTTAACCATAAGACGGGTCTCAGGCCTTTCTTATATTCACTTTCATTCTTCGACTCAACAGCAGCCCCCTTTCTCTTTTTCTTTTTGACACTTTTATCTTTGGACTTTCGATGGTCCCCTGTATCCTCCATGGGAAACTCAGCTGATGATCTGCGACTTCCATTAGACTTCTGCTTGGTATCATCGGGTGCAAGCTTTGAGAACTTCTTTAAAATTTTTGAATCCTCAGGTTCTTCGCCCATGTTCTTGCTACTCTTCTTATTCCAGGAAAACCAACTTTTCTTCTCCTTGGTAGTACCATTGGACTCGCAGCTTTCAAATGAACCAGTATCGAAGTTTTCGTGACAATCCTGCACCTCGGTGCCTTCATCCTCGCCTAAACCATCCCCCATTCGAAGTGCAGAATCTAACTGCATTCTTTCCTCAGCTGTCAAAACATCATCATACTCGTCGTTTTCACCTCCATTAGCCAATCCATCGTCATCATTGGCTGAAAAAAGCTCTTCATCCGTCATGGCACCAGGAACTCTCCTCGACTTCACACTCACTTGAACATGAAGCATATCGTAAACCTTGGCCTTCCATGCCCCAACCATCTCACTTCTTTCCTGTCTCCTCCAATTCAAATGTGGTATAAGCTCGGCCTGTGTAACATCGATTCCTGGTCTATACATATTCGTTTGAGACATCAAAGCTACTTCGTGTGCAACTTCAGCCTCTGTTGGCTGAACCCCGGCTCCTTCCAATGCATTTGTGATCTCCTTCTCTTTATGTGCAAGAACAATCAACGAACCAGGGGGTAAGGATATATTCCCATCCTCCGAAGAATGACCCTCTCCAAGGAAAAGAAAAGTCTGATCTGAACGTTGAATACGGAATCCATCAAACCCTGCAAGCGTCATATCTGCACGTAGATTAGAACCGCGTTTCCATATCCGATATGTATCCGAAGGGGCGATTCTTCCGATAAATGGTATCACCGAGCTCTCAAAGTGGAAGGTTATCTCCATATAAAAATCACGAATTCGAGCTGCAGAGGCTACAATCCTGGGAAGCCTACGGCACCACTTCGCCCAAGCAAGAGGCTGATAATGCCGAGCAATGATCATTGCGATATTTTCCTCCCTCGTACAAACAGCCTCCTGGAGGGCACTCCATCCATTATCGTTTTGAAGACTCCAATCAGCACCAGCTGCCATTAAAATCTCAGCCGAGACGGAATCATGTAGCCGCACAGCAAGGTGCAAGGGAGTTTCCCTTCCCGGAACATCCCGTCTGTCTATCACTGCAGACACAGCATCAGCATCTGCTTCAGCAGCCAAAGACTCTGCCTCTGTGTTAACTTCTCCGGCTGTTGCCAACTTAGGCAGTGCTGTAACTATCCGTTTCAGCGTCGAATAGTCGCGATTCAGTACAGCCAAATGGGCAGGACTGTGTGCATACTTTGATGAATCCTCCATTAATTCTTTCTTCCTAGCTCCAAACTACACTCTGCACCCCCTCTGATTCGATACAATGCTAAGGAATTCCAACTTTCACCTGCTATTACTGTTACCCTAAGCTCAGAATCAGAATTTTCCACCATTTCCCAACAAAAATGGCCAACCCATCCCAATCAGCAGCTTCTAAAGGCTCCCGACTGTAAATGCCAAAGTTCATCAACGCATAAAATTCAGGTTCTCTTCACCGAATCTTTAAAAATTAAAATGAATAAAATCCCAACAGTTTCAGCTCAAACTCACCGACGCAAACCCTAAGAAAATCCCGATCTCAATTATACACAGAGAAAACGAAATTAACATCCCCAAATCACAGGAGTATCTAGATCTAACCACCCTTCCGATTTCAAAACTTGGTACCCAAAATAACATTAGGGAAAAAACAAGCAGGAAGACCTAATCGAGAAATTACCCGAGCGAAAAGGCGGGGAGGATACTGAGAAGAGTTGTCGTCACGGGGATTTGAATCAGTCCGCATTCATTTATTCAGATCTCTTCCCCTCACTTCCTCTATCCATAAGACGGTAGGGAAAATCGCACGCAGAGAGAGGAGAGAGAGAGAGGAGAGAGAAAGAGGCGTTGTGGTGGTGGAGCAATATTTATTTATTTATTTATAGAATTTATTAAATTATTTAATTTATATGATGACGATGATATGATATTGTAGAGAGAGAGAGAGAGAGAGCAATTGGAAATGGGCATCTGCCATAGCAGGCAAGCTACCTTTGCTATTACTGTTGGCTGGAGAGATACAGATACAGACAGAGACACAGATCTAAACATCTGCCCTTCGATGAGAATTATATTACCAAAATGCCATCCAAAACTTCCATTCAATTAATTTCAATTTAATTATTTGCTAATAAATATATATCCGCCTTTTGGACTTAGACACCTCCTTCTTATTGTGAAGTAAATTATGGTAATTCAAATTATAAATAAATAATTCATTGTTATATAATAATTATATAACATAATATTATTAAGTATATATATATCAAATATTATAAGGCAATGTGTGTATATATATAATATAATAATGTATGCAAATGTTGTAAAGCAAATGTGAGGAAATTGAATGCGAAATTATATGTTCATTGAATATTACATCGTCGTATTTATAGGCAGAAAACTTCGATATGCAGAAAACTTCGATATGAAAGAAAAGCAAACATATGCTACGTAGTTACTTCGTGTAGCTACGTATGTATTTCGTAACACTCCCCATTGGATGCTTTTATACAAAGAATGTGTCTCGTTAAAACCTTACTATGAAAAAACCCTGTCATAGTGAAGGAAAAAGAGTACATCATTCTTGTATTAATGCGCTCCCCCTGTTCTGGACTTTATTTGATGTCTTTCATCCGACACATTCCAATTCCTTGCACCAGTTTGTTGAATGTTCCAGTCGGTAGCGCCTTCGTAAATAAATCTGCAAAATTTTCAGACGATCGAATTTGTTGCACATTAATTTCACCATTTTTCTGAAGATCGTGAGTGAAAAAGAATTTCGGAGATATGTGCTTTGTCCGATCGCCTTTAATATATCCTCCCTTTAATTGAGCTATACAAGCTGCATTATCTTCATATAATATTGTAGGAGGTAATATATCATCGGTAATCAAGCCACAATTTTTCTGAATATGGTGAGTCATGGACCTCAACCAAACGCATTCACGACTGGCTTCGTGAATTGCTAAAACCTCAGCATAGTTTGAAGAAGTAGCTGTTATCGTCTGTTTAGCAGATCTCCAAGAGATCGCGGTTCCACCAAAAGTAAATAAATAGCCAGTTTGAGATTTTGCTTTGTGTGGATCGGACAGATAACCAGCATCAGCATAACCAATTAATTCATTTTGAGATTCACTCGAATAAAATAAACCGAGGTCATGAGTTCCCTGAAGATAACGAAAAATGTGCTTGATACCATTCCAATGGCGCTTTGTGGGGGATGCGCTAAACCTGGCCAGTAGATTTACTGGAAAATATATATATGGTCTGGTACAATTTGCGAGGTACATTAATGCGCCAATAGCGCTCAGATTTGCTACCTCGGGGCCAAGTATTTCTTCATTTTCTTCTCTTGGCCTAAATGGATCTTTACTGGGATCAAGGGATCTGACCACCATTGGTGTACTCAGAAAGTGAGATTTATCCATGTAAAATTGTTTTAATACCTTTTGGGTATATGTTGATTGATGGATAAAGATTCCGTTGTTCACATGATCCACTTGTAATCCCAGACAATATTTTGTATTTCCAAAATCTTTGATCTCAAATTCTTTCTTTAGATATTCAACTGCAGTTTGGATCTCTTCAGGAGTTCCAATTAAATTGAGATCATCAACATATATAGCAATAATGACAAAATTTGATCCATTTTTCTTTATAAAGACGCATGGGCATATTGGATCATTAGTATAACCTTCTTTTATTAAACATTCGCTCAGACGGTTATACCACATTCGCCCTGATTGTTTAAGTCCACACAATGACTTTTTCAATTTGATGGAATATGATTCCCTTGGGTTTATTTGGTATGCTTCAGGCATATTGAATCCCTCAGGAACTTTCATGTAAATATCAGTATCCAAGGAGCCATAAAGATATGCAGTAACTACGTCCAAAAGGCGCATATCGAGTTTTTCTCGCACTGTTAGGCTCACAAGGTATCTAAATGTTATTCCATCAACAACTGGAGAGTACGTTTCATCAAAATCTACTCCAGGCCTTTGTGAGAATCCCTGAGCTACAAGACGGGCTTTATATCTCACAATTTCATTATGCTCGTTCCTTTTTCGTACAAACACCCATTTGTATCCAATTGGTTTTATACCATCTGGTGTTTGAACAATTGGTCCGAAGACCTCTCTTTTGTTTAATGAGTCAAGCTCTGATTTAATCGCATGCTCCCATTTTGGCCAATCATTTCTTTGCCGACATTCATGAACGGATTTTGGCTCTGGATCCTCGTTTTCTTCCATTATATCAAGTGCTAAATTGTATGCGAAGGCATTATCAATAATTGCCTCTTTACGGTTCCAACATTTTCTTGAAGTAACATAGTTAATTGAGTTTTCAATAATCTCATCATATTCTTCAAGATCGTGCTCTTCTGGAGCAATTATTTCAGGGTTGACTTCCTCGTTAGATTGAGGTTATCAATGTCATTCCTGATATTTTCATGATTTTCATCATTAATTCCTCTTTTCTTTCGAGGGTGTTTATCTTTGGAACCGAGTGTCTGCCACGCTTTAAGCGTATCGTTGATTCATTAGCACTTCCAATTTGTCCATCAGGGACAATTATTTTAGCCGGAGCATTAGCAGCTTGGATATATGATCGAGTGACTTTGCTCGAGTCATTGAATGCATCCGGTAACTGATTTGCAATGTTTTGCAAATGTATAATGCGTTGAACTTCTAGTTCACACTACTTTGTACGAGGATCATAAAAATTCAATGGGATTTTCCAATTAATATCTCTTTTCGGTTCGTTTTTGTCTCCCCCTAATGTCGGAAAATATGATTCATCAAAATGACAATCTGCAAATCTTGCAGTGAATAAATCACCCGTCATAGGCTCAAGATATTTTATAATTGAACGATTCATATTCGACATAAATGCCCAATCTACGTTGAGGACCAATTTTTGTACGTTTGGGGGGTGGAATAGAAACATAAACAGCACACCCAAAATTACGTAGATGAGATATATTTGGTTCGTGACCAAATACTAACTGCATTGGGGAATAGCTATGATAGCTTGTCGGCCTCATTCTTATAAGTGTTCCTGCGTGTAAGATTGCATACCCTCAAGCTGAAACGAGCAACATAGACCTCATCAGTAATGGTCTAGAAATCAATTGCAATCTTTTAATAAGTGATTCTGCCATGCCATTTTGTGTATGAACATGAGCAACTGGGTGCTTTACATTAATTCCAATCGACATGCAATAATCATCAAATGCATTCGATGTATATTCACCAGCATTATCCAGACGTATAGTCTTAATTGGATTATCGGGGAATTGTGCCCGTAATTTAATTATTTGGGCAAGCAATCTCGCAAATGCCATATTGCGAGTAGATAATAAACAAACATGAGACCATCTCGTAGATGCATCAATAAGCACCATAAAATATTTAAATGGCCTACACGGTGGGTCTATTGGTCCACATATATCCCCGTGTATTCTTTCCAAAAATGTAGGTGATTCAATACCTACTTTAGCTGGCGATGGCCTAGTTATCAATTTTCCCTGAGTGCAGGCAACACATGTTAACTCATTTGAGTTTAACATTTTTTGATCTTTTAATGAATGGCCATGCGAATTCTCAATTATTCGCCTCATCATTATACTGCCAGGATGTCCAAGGCGATCATGCCATATTTGAAAATCGGTAGTCCTTTGATCTACCGTGAGGTGTGTTTCAACAACACCTAATCTGGCATAATATAGGCCAGTAGAGCGTGATGGTAATCTCTCAATGATGCATTTCCTTTTATCAATGATATTGGTGATCAATAAAAATTCACCATCGGTATCACTCATAGTTTCAATGAGATAACCATTTTTCCGAATGGCATGAAAGCTCAGTAGATTTCTTCGAGCTTTAGTGGCCAACAGTGCATACTGTATCACAATTTTCGTCCCCGCAGGGAGAAATATAATGGCTTCTCCAGAGCCTTCAATTAATTTCGCACTGCCACTTATTGTATTGACATTCATTCTTTCCCTTTTCAAATGGGAGAAATATTTTTCGTGTTTCAATATAGTATGTGTCGTTGCACTGTCAATAAAACACATATTTGCATCATTTTGGTTGGCATCCATTTAACCTTCAAATATAAATAAGCGCAGTATTAATAAAGATAGATATAAGTATTACAAAATGTATTACAAAAAGGTAGTATGCGATAATTTAAATATTACAAAACATAATGTAAAATGACATAATATGTTTATCACTGGGGGTTTGCTGGATCTACGACAAAATCCGCTATATCAAGATGCGTTGTGTCGTAATCCAAAAGATCATCATCGGGGTCGTCATCGTTATCAACGTGATTAGTCTCGATCTCCTTCCCCTTTTTCTGCAGTGAGGCTTGATAAAGATCGGCTAGGTGTTTGCTGTTCTACAGGTATTGGCCCAATGGCCTTCAATGCCACACCGGTTACAAATGCCGATTTGCCTCTTTCCCTCTTTAGCCTTTTCGGCTATATCCCCATGTTGGGGCTTACTCTGTATCATGTTAACGTCAAAACTGCGGCGATTGTAAGGGGAATATCGACCGTGTTGACTCTCATGACCGCGACCACGTCCACGGCCTCTACCATGTCCTCGGCCTCGTTCAGAAAATGTCACGTTCGCTTCAGGGAACGGACTGGAACCAGTGGGCCGGGACAGATGATTTTTCATTAGTAACTCATTATTTTGCTCAGCTAATAAAAGACATGCAATGAGCTGTGAGTACTTTTGAAAGTTTTTCTCACGATACTGCTGTTGCAGCACAACATTTGAAGTATGAAAGATAGAGAGAGTCTTCTCCAATTTATCATTCTCAGTAACATTTTCTCCGTAGAGTTTCAACTGAGATGTAATATGATGGATAGCAGAGTTGTACTCTGTAACAGTTTTAAAATCCTACAACCGCAG